AATCGATTTCTATTATGACTCCAAGAAAAAAAAGACAATTACCCAGTTATCTAAAAATTTAGCACCCAAGACTTTGATGTTTGAAACTTTGTCTCCAGCATTTGTCCTCTTAACAATTTCACAAATAACTTATTATTGCAACAACAGCCATAGTTGGTTATATAGTCATTACAGCAACAACCATATTTGCCAACACAACTTTATATGGATTCTTTAACATTAAACGAAGCAATATCAAAATATAATGAAGTATGAATATTATTTTAATAAAATATATATACAACATATATATAAAAAATTAATTTCTTATTCTATGAATATTAATTCTGAACATTTTTTATTTGTTATAAGAGTTTTTAGCATGAAGAGTAGGATAATAATTTTTTGGTAGTGACGATGGTCTTGTTGAGGATTCATGTTATGAAAAAAATAATAAGAGTATTTGAGCTTGAGCGATCTCTTTGATTACTCTATCAATAATAAATTTTAACCAATCAGTGCAACTCTATGAAAAAAATTGATGGTTGCAGCTCTAGTTTTTTTTTGACCCAAGTGATGATTACGATCAATTTTTTCGATCAACCAAACCATTTGGTAAAATCATTGAGGTAGACGCTTGAGAACAGCTTTAGTCTTATAATTTCTGGCAATTTAAAGATAAGTTTATATAATATTTAGAAGGGAAATTTAGTACAAAGATAAGTTGAACAGTTTGTATATTTTTTGAATTCGAGACAGAGGAAACACTAACGAATATTCAACTTCTTTGTGATTACAGATTGATTTTGTTAAAGTGTATGGTAGTTTAGAGATATTTAGGGTTAGAATTAAGATTTGAAAAAGGTTTTTGAGAGTGTAGTTTGTTAGTTGAGGTTCGGATTGGGTGTTTTATGGATCTGAGTTGGTTCCTATAGTTTATTTTTGTTTTAATGATAATATTCTTTAAATTCTTTGACAAGTTATAATTACTTCAAATAAACATATACAAATTATAAGATTGAATTACTTTGATGAAGGATTATTTTAATGAATTAATGTATCTTATATTCTCTTATATCAAATTCGAGCAATTTTTATATCACTTGATTCTTATCGTTGAGAAAAATAAATGGTGAAAATTTGGTTAGATCTGATCACTAGGATATAAGATATTATTTTTGTCACATAAAATTCTTATTGTTTATACAAAGATATCTTTAATCTAGTAAATGGATTTGGCATTTTCTCTATTTAATTCTTTCTAGCGAGAGAAATCAGATAATATTAAAATAATTCGAATCTGATTGTTAGGTTACTAAATCTTATTTATCAAAATAATTAAATTTCTTGTAAAATATTCAGTCTTATAATTATCACTCTAAAGTGGCTTGTTGTATTACTCTTTTATAGTTGAATTTATTATTGATTGAATAGGTTTTATGTAGTAAATAGACAAGATATTTTTTATATTGATTACTTTAACTTTGTAAATATACAACTATTTATGTTGCTATGTACTGGTAATTCTTTATTATTAGTCTAAAATAAACAGGAGATAAGCCAATTCTAATTTATCACACTCTTTTTTTGTCTTGAACTTGGTTTTACAAATTCCCACCATTTATTCATACCTATTTGCTCTTGTACATTATCAGAAATAGAGACTATACTACAGCTATATATTAATATAAAAAAGCCAGAATGTAGAGGTTCAATATTTACATTCTGCCTTATAAGCCCTTTAACGATTAACTTATCTACCATGTGAAAGCATACATCTCGAGTAGAAATTATTGGTTTATATGAGGCATCTTCTTCCTCATTCCAAAACAATGATAAGTTTTTATCTTTTGTATTTTTGTTCTCAGCTTTTAAGAAAATATCTACTAACTCCTCTCTTCCAAAACTTATTAACTTTCCCTCCGCAATCATTCTCAACAACTTTTCTGTTACATTTAGCATTTTTAACAAGTTATTATAAACATTAACTCACACTGCTTTATTTTAAGATCATCTAATACAATTATCACATACATTGTATTTAGAAATCGGTAGATCTATAGTCTATTTAAAAGATGTATAGTACAATATTTGCCTACAAGTGTAAATATCTTGAAAACAATAAGATGACTTAAAAATAGTTGCTGCGAAATCATCATCTTGTGAAAAACTGTAAATCAATCACCTATCAGTAACTTTATTATAAAATTTATGTTGAATTTTTTTTTTTGCATTTTAATACAAACTAATTATTTACTTTTCTTTATTTTTGCTTTGATTAGAATTAATCTTCGAATATCACTTCGTAAATAGAATATTATAGATTTTCCAGGATTGTCATCATGTGCAGCATGGCCAATTTCTTGTACAAGATTTGTAATAGAGATTGGAAATGTTGTATGTATTATTACTTTTATATCAGCAATATGTATACTTATTTCAAAAGCATTAGTTGCTACTATATAACGATAGAGACCAGTTTTCCAACCTGTTAAAGTTTTTTTTTGTTTATTACTAGATATTTTTCCATGGTAAGTTGTGATTAAATCTAAATTATATTGTTCTTTAAGAGCTGTAACTATATCTAAACATTTATCTGGCATTGCACAATAGATAATTATTTGTCCAGAAGTGATCTCATTTATAATTTTAAATATTGCTTCTAACAACTTATCTTTTTTTATAGGCTTAGGATATATTTGAAGATTTAATTCTGGTCTATGAATGTATTTACTGTGAATTATATTTAAATTAGGACATTTAAGATTTATAATCAATTGGTTGGCTATAAATTCACTACAAGTTGCAGTTAACAGAAGGATTAGTGTCAAGGTAAATTTATCTTTTAACTTGAATAGTTGATTTCAGGCTGGTCTATTAATAAGTTAATTTTAGAATTTTTCTTATTTGTTAATTAATTAATTACAAATAATCACCTAAAATGTGCATATTCTATTATACAGTAGGCTTTATCTATAACAAACTAAATTTTTCGATTTCAGCTATTTTTTTTAACATTTGACAAAACTTTAGATTTTGAATAAATTTTTCTGATAGATTTGGGTCCCATAGCTTATTGGTTAAGCTCCCAAACCTCCACAAACAAGGTCAATGGTTCGAGTCAGGCTGGAGGCAAATTTAATAAATTTGTTTCTGTAAACTACGGGGGCTATAATCAGATGCGAAGCCCTGTGGAAAGTCCAAGTGCAGTATGAGACCAGAATAAGGAGTTCCTGGAAGGAGACCAGGTTGTGGAGAGTTGATACTATGTGTGATAGCAGCATTACAGAAGGTCTAGATAGTAAAAAGATTGCATATATAAGTCCTCAGTTGGGTGACTAAGAGGCAATACTAACATCCTATCACCTCCATATTTGGTAGTACCAACATCTCTACACCCAACTTGTGGTGTACTTGCTTGGAAGGATGATCAACGGATCGTACGTATAAGTCCTAATATGGAATGACATTAGGTACTTGCTTGGAAGAGTAATTTAATACTACCAAAACCAGAGTAGTGAGTGAAGTGGTAATACATGACTATGGGCTGTGGTAAAGGATCATACCTTAACTGGAATTGAAAGCATCTCTGGCATAAGTGGAATGACTATAGAAGGTTACTCAGCGTAAAGAATGTAACCTACTCCTGTATGTCTAAATGCACCAAATCAGAGCTCTGGACATATCTGTATGGAAGTCTATGACAAAAAGAGCTAGAATTTGCTAGCACGAATGCTACACCAACTAGAAATATTTAGAAGTGATCTAGCTTGCTACTTAAGTAATTTTGTGGTGTTAGGCCGGTCTTTAACAAGATAGGTTATTAAAGCGATTACGAAGGCCAATGGCTAGAAGTGTGTAACCCTGTAGTTGCTGTGTAACTTAAGGGTTCTTACAAAGCAAAGTCCTAGCGAACACCATATAAGGGAGTACATAAGGGAGTAAAAGTTGTACAACCATACCAGATAACCTAAAAAACGTCAAGACCTGAAGAAGGCAACCTGGTGGCAGCAGCAGGAGCCTGGCTTGAGATACAAGATCAGTATACCTGAGGAAGTAAGTGGGAGGGCTGGTGACTGTCTCTAGTATTGCATTACCTCTAGGTGATACCCAGATCCAATATGTGATACTAATACTTCTCACGTGGGACTAGTGGTGGCAGCAGAACCCTGGCTTGAGATATGTATACGAGAGGCCACCTATAGAAAAGTACATACCAGTATAAAGTACCCAATAACAGGCACACCAAATTGGGAGGCCGTAAAGGACTGATTCTCTGAATATACCAATTTAGAAATAACCAAGATTTGACGTTGAGACATGGGTGAATATGGTGGATAACTAGAAATAGTCTAAACACCAAATCCAGGTATAACCCAATACGTGGTAGGAATGTAGCATACTTTGGTAGGTTTAGGTCGTAGATAAAAGTTGTCTAAGCTTGTATTCTTAAGATAGATATATAGCTATATAAAGCAATATTTAATAATATTTAATAAAAATATAGAGCAAGACCTCACCTTAATACCGAAAAAAAAAAAAAAATTTTTCTGGTGTAATTCACAAAATTTTAGTATATCCCGAAGCAATTTCTGAAAAACTTTTTTTTTGTATATCAGGAGGTTGGTCTGTGGTGGCAAAAAGATATGCTGAAGGTATTCCCATATCGATTAGCTCTTTCTATAATGGTTATAAATTATAAAACTTAATTCAATATTAGTTTAGATTTATTGCATATAATATAATAATATTAATTCATTTATATACCAATTGGCATCCTATTAGAGATTTTAATAGAGTGAATACTACTGTTAATCCACAAAACAGCATACTCACCACAGAAAAAATTAGAGTTTTATCTCCTTCCGTTTGTATAATAGTTAGTGTATCCTTGCCTAACATAAAGCTTTCTATACTTTCATACTACAACTCTTTATAATGCTGAAAATTAAAAACTTCTAACAATACCGCTTCAATAATATTTAATAAGGGTTGTGTTGGTAATTTTTTTTTTGTAGAATGAAATTTTGTATTAACAATATAATTTGTTAATCCATGATTTTAATAAAATCCACACAATTTACAAAGACCTTGTTCTGAAAATCTTTTTGGAAATGAACCACAACCTTCACATAAAATAAAACTATCAAAATTAGAGATAAGTTCAAAAAAGGATGGATAGAATATAGATCTGGTAATATTATCTTGTACTATTTTTCTATATGGAATTAAATCCTATTTAAGTTTTTTTATATGATTTACATTAGTGCTCTACAACAGGTAACTAAAATATAATACAATATAATTTTGATTTATTAAAAGCCTAATACTGTATTCAGATTTAATTATAATATTAATTTTAGATATCGATATTAGCTTTTAATAGATCAGAATTATATATAGATATCAACTTTTTATATTTTAATTTTAATGTTTATCATAGAATATTAATTAGATAATTTAATTTTAACTTACTTGTGACCAATCAAAATCTTGTAATTGGTTTTTTTGCTGAATTATTTTTTTTACTCACATATCATTTCTTTTATGAATTTTAGCAACATTACAATTCCGTTTATCTTCTCTTTGTTTCCAAATTTTGCTGATGTTTAGTAAATTTTGGTCTGAAAAACTTGAAATTTCTCTTGCTTGTCACAAAATTTGCAACATTTTCAGAAAACCATTATTATTATAAATTACTGCTAATGCATGGCGAGTTCTATAAGATTTTGGATAATTCTGTTTTTTGTCTGTATAATTTAACTTTATTTTATTTATGGATTCATTTTGACTAGTACGCATTTTTGTGATTAAATTTTGGTGAGGAGCTAATTGAGTAATTCCTTTAAGAAAAGCTTTTAAAGCATTTAATTGTATACTAGATTTGCCAACAAGGTTAGGTTCTGATAAGACCAAGTCTGGATTACCTACCTTCCAGTATATTTTACTCCAACACTGGCTATGATTATCAAATAAATGTTCTACTATAATATCATAATATATTTGATATAAATTTTTATCTATAATTAGTGGGTAATTATCATCACTAGCATGAATACAAGCAGCATATACAGCTTGAGTGTAAAAGTTCATTATTGGTTATTCAAGGTATTTCCACCTTTCATTTTTAACTAAAATTAATAGTTTATTAGATATATATATAAATATATTAAATATGAAAACATTTATTTTATCTATTTTTTTTCTTACAGTTGTCGTCTTGTATTTTAAATCCGCAAAAATTTTTGATACAATTAGTTAGTCTGCTAGTATTTTATTACTATTTAAATCTCTATCTACAGCAACTCCAAGAACTATATTGTATTTGATAAGTATAAGTGTAATTTTTGCGATAGATCTAATTAAATTGGCATGTTCTATTTGTTTGCTACTACTATTGTAATTTTCTTCATTAATCGTAATTGTTTCTCCTTTTTTATTTTTATAAATTTGAAGTTTTCTACTAAATAATAAGCTACAATAGGCTTGGAACGATATCCTTTTAATGATTAATAAATATTATTAAAATAATTGATTTATTTGTTAATATAATTAATTTAGTACTAACCTTTAATATTTCCATTATAGATAAATTCACCACTAGCTTGTGATGCTTCTCGTATGTGACTCCATGAATTATCAAAACTAACTTCCAATATATGTTTATTTTGTGCTTGAATTTGTTCACATGCAGCATGTAAAGCAAAATTCGCACTATTTTTAGCACTTTCTTAAATTTTTTTAAAAAAAGTTTCTTGTTTTTGAAAGTATTGTTTTCTTCCACTTTGTCGTATAATACCACATGCATATAATATTGTTGTCTATTCTTCTTTATTTACACCTTCAACTAAACCTGCTCCAGCAACAAGCTTTGAATAGTTAATTCTGGCTATTTCATTTTTATAAAATATTGTTGTAGAATATTTATTACAGGTAATATTAATCTTTACAGAAAATCCACAAGCTGTTATTGGTTGCGATATCAGTATTAAAACATGCTAAACATAGTTGACTAATAATTAATTCAAGAAAAATATTTGTACTAACAAACAAGCTAGAGCCTAATTTGCTTTTAGTAATCATTGTATCTATAATTTCTTGAAGTTCAGAAGTTTTACTCGTTATGAATAAAGAATCTTGATCTTTTTCTATATCACTACTTTCACTATCATCACTATATAATATATAATAATTTATTATTAAAATAATTTATTATAAATTATTTTTATTTTTTATATTACCTTGAATTATCAGATTCATTTTTTAATGATTCTTGTAAGGATATTATTTTATTATATGAACAACGTAATCGTTTTTTAGTATTATTTAGTTGGTTTTGAGTTTTTTGTATTTTATTACCTAGTGCTTATATTAAAACTAAATTAATGTTTAATTTTTGTAAATTAAGAACAAGATTTGGTTGATTTTCTTGTTCTATTTTAGTTTCTAAATGATCTGCATCTCTTTTTGCTGATTTGATTATAGTATTCATTTCTTTTTCGGCTTTATAATATTTATATTCTAAATCAAATATATTAGAATATTTTGCTCCAATAAATCCATGTAACCATTTAACATTTTCTGTTGAAGTTAATCCTAATAGATATAGTATTAAAAGATAACTATTATATACGATTGATGGATTATTTTCAATATAGTGTAATAAATCATCTGATTTCTCAAAGTTTGTTGAGTATTTGATTGATTCTGAAACATACTATCAGTACCAAATTCATTCTATATCCACAATATAATCTGTTTAGTTTCACACCATCCTAGTTCTACTGTACAAAAACAACTACCATAAAATATAAAAACTTTATAACCGGGTATTAAAGGAACAAGTGATTTATTTTGCAAATTTGAATCTATATCAGGAACTTGTAATAGTATATATACAGGATTTTTTTCTTGTATTGCACTTATAAATTGACTATATTGAGGTAATATATATAAAAATTTAGGATCCTCACGAACAAAAACTGTTCTATTATATCGAGAATACTTTTAGCATTGATTGTTCATAAGAAGTAGCTCTTTTGGCCAGTTTCTATTAGTATTCTAAAAATAGATTTAATAAGAAAAATATAATTACATAATAGTTTTTATATAATAAATATATTTTACCATATTTTATATTCAAAATGAGTTGATATTGAGTAATAAAATAAATATCTAAAAGAGCAAATAAAAATAAATTTATTTTAAATAAGTTTACTTCTACATGCGCATTTTTAACATGAGATGAGCAACTTGTTATATATATACATTTTATAT